ACTGGATTTAGAACCAGGACATGTAGTCTAAGGTCCTGGTAGGTCAATGTTCTACTGAAAGAATGGGACTAAAAAGCAGCTGAGAAGCAACCACATCACATCCCAGGGTGGCCTGAGCTACAACTCTCCACAGCCCTGTCCTCAGTCAGCTGAACACAGCCTTCCCCCGTCCCCATGGACAAAACACTCAGCTCAGCAAACATGACGATTCTGGAAGCTTCTCAGGTTTTATGAATCATCCTGTGATTTCATTAACTCTTCAACCTCATCTCATGACAAGAATTGGAAGAATAAGTCCACATCCACACTCTCCCTGTCAATAGTGAAGCAAGAAGCTGCAGTAGAGACCAACCGAACGTGAAGTCAGGGATGGGGATGCCCTGGCCTCGCCTCTGCTGGAGCAGCAGGTGGATGGGAAAGAGACCTAAGTGAGTGTGAGGAGGGGTCCCAGTGCTTGGGGCTGGGCTGGGCTCCTCATTTTCTCACAGGATGCTGATAGGATGCAGATACCTGGGTACAGTCAGAGCCCATTGTAGAAAATGAAGCCAGAGGGCTCTTGAGGTCACAGAAGGAAGCAGGAGGGACCTGAATGTGTCTAATATGGCCCAGTCTTTCCACTGTAAAAGAAAATAATCATCATTCAGAGCAGTGACTGTACAGGGTGACACTCTGAGCAGCCTACCACACATTCAAATAGTCCAATCTAGAGTCCTCCTAACCAAGGAGTCTGCCCTCTGCCCCAACCCCTGTCCTACATCAGACCCTACAGAACGTCACCTTTTTAAGTTGTAAGAGACATATCACAGACCTGGGCACTGTTCCTGCTTGAAGTAGAACAAAGCAGAAGGTAGTCAGAGCCCATAGGATGTCAGGACAATGGAGTAGTTATGGGGAGGGTGAGCTCCCATGAGCTTCTGTCTATACTATCCCACAGTTCTTCTGGATTATTTGAAGGGTTAAAGTACTTGTGGCAGTGACCATTTGTTGCTTGTTTCAGCTAGCAGAGCAGCACGTAGTGAGTCAAACACCTGATTGTGAGCCTTTATAAGCCCTGCAAATCCTTAGCTTGGGGCTCTCCTCCTAGGCTCCGCTGTGTCGGAGTGTAGGACGAGGCCCGAGCTGCAGCCCATCTGAATAAAACCTTAAAACAGCTGTAAAGTCTGACTCTCGGTGGTCTTCTTGGTGGGGGTCCTGCGACCTGGGCACAACACTTTGACCCAACATACATGTTCTCAGCCTGAACATAACATAGCTGCCCTTATTTCCATCTGTGGGAAAAATCAATCTGTGAGAAACAAGGGCCATTGAAGTGTAGAGGAATTCCTTAGTCCTGAGCCCCAGGAGAGTGTCCAGAACTGTGACTGCAGACCTAGGAAAGATCCAGAAACATGAAGAAAGAAATATGCTTCCTTTCTGAGAGATCTGTCTTCAGCAGGGACTTTCTCTCATCTCTCATTGCTGGAAATCAGGTCCCATCACCACTGTCACAAGGGTGAATTTTTTTGTTTTTGGCCAGTCCTGGTGCTGGAACTCAGGACCTGGGCACTGTTCCTGAGTTTCTTTTGCTCAAGGCTAGCTAGCACTGTATCACTTGAGCCACAGCATGACTTACAGCTTTTTCTGTATATGTGGTACTGAGGAACTGAACCCAGGGCTTCATGCATGCTAGGCAAGCACTCTACCAATAAGCCATATTCCCAGCCCAAGGGTGAATTTTTTTTTTTTTTTTTTTTTTTGCCGGTTGTGGACCTGAACTCTGGGCCTGGGCGCTGTCCCTCAGCTCTTCAGCTCAAGGTGAGCGCTCTACTGTTTAAGCCACAGCGACACTTCCGGCTTTTTCTGTGGTGCTGAGGAATCGAACCCAGGGCCTCATGCATGCAAGGCAAGCACTCTACCACTGAGCCACCTTCCCAGCCCGAAATTTTTGTCTTCTATTTCCATATGATTGATACCCACTGGTGTCAGCAAATGAGATCCCAGGCTGGCTAAGTATCTTGCATGGTGCTACTTCCCATTACTATGGTAGAGCACACTTCTAGCTAGGACTTGAAGCCCCCATTGGGACAAGGCCTCAGACCTGGCCCCTTGACCTCCTGTTTTTCCCTCCCCCACCTCATAACATCCACCCCAACTCCAAGAAGAACAAGGATAGTAACAATTTCCATGATGGGCAGGGTGGAACAACAAGGAAGCTCTAGGAACAGAAAGGAAGGAAAGGGGAGGGACCTTGACCCCTAGCTCCAGATTGCTCCTGCTTTCCATAGGCTGTGCCCACACCCCTCTCTTTTACCCCATGTCAGGATGAGGGGCTCAGGCAGCCCCTCATGCTGCACATGGCATGTGTATCTCTGCTTCTCTCCACAGCTGCCCACTTCTGAAAGGTTCCATCTCCTGTAGGCTGTTGGGTCTTCGTCCGTCCCACAAAAGACAGACGGGGTCCGAGGAAAGGTAAGTGCGGCGCTCTCCCGTTCCCCAGCCTCCCTCAGCCCAGGAGACAATCAGACACAGCGGAGAGCCAAATCCAGCAGGTAGAAAAACTCGTTTATTAACAGAGAGCAGCCCCTTTTAAAGACAACAAGGGTGGGTGGCATGGTAAGGGAGGAAGAGGAACCAATCACTGTCAAGGTCACACCCTATCATTCACCTGAGCCTTCACGGGCTGGTTAGGCACTGATCAGAAGATCAATTGGGGCCTGCCCACTCAACCCCCTCCCAGAGCCATCTTGGCTGGCCATGTGCTCTACAGTAAATTAGGCTCTGCCCACTCAACCCCCTCCCAGCGCCATATTTGCTGCCCATGTGCTCCACAGTAGGCCTAGTATCTACCAGCTCCATGTCCTGGGTCTGGTCCTTTCCATCTCTCTGCCAGGAGAGCGTGATCTCTGATGGGTAGAAATCCAGGGCCCAGCACTTCAGGGTGACCTCATGGTCAGAGAGGGAGTGGTGGGTTATGTGTGTCTCTGAGGGATGGGGGGGGGGGGGAGGGATCCAGAATCCAAGGGGGAAATCCAGAAATTCAGATACTTTAGTAACCCATTGTCTCCCACCCACGAACCACTGCAGCAGTGCCATGCGACCACCCTAAGAATGGATTGGACAATTGGGTTAAGGAGCAATTATTATAAGAGCCAGGTTTTGATCATCTCTTGTTCCTTGTTAAGATCCTGAATGGGACTGGGAATGGGGCTTAGTGGTAGAGTGCTTGCCTAGCGTGCATGAAGCCCTGAGTTCAATTCCTCAGTACCACATACACAGATAAAGCTGGAACTGGTGTTGTGGCTCAAGTGGTATAGTGCTAGCCTTGAACAAAAGAATCTCAAGGACCATGCCAAGGCCCTCAATGCAAGCGTGTGTGTGTATACACACACACACACACACACACACACACACACACACACATGCCAAAAGGGCCTGGTAGTCAGTTACTTTGGTTACCTCCAGGTATCTGAGGAGCCAGAACTACTCCACCCTTCCCCCACTGCCTCTCACTTGTTCTGGGTCATCTGAGCAGGCAGGTTTGCTGCAGTCCAGGAGAGCAGGTCCTCATTCAGAAACAGCTAATCCTGGCCCTCGTAGGCGTACTGACGATACCCACCGAGGAAATGCCCATTTGTCTCTGCTTCCCAGCCATATATCATAGTCAGTGTGATGTGAGGCTCAGGCCAGGGCAGTCAGCCACGCCCATCATTGCCCCTCTCCGCGGCCATCCCCCGCCAGGCACCGCCCACCCCCGCAAACCACGCCCACACATCACCGCCCCTCCCAGAAGCCCCTCCCATTCGCCCCGCCTGCTGCCAGCCCCGCCCACGACCCCGCCCCGATGGTAAGCGCCGCCCAGCTCAGCTTGGGGAATTCGGCTGTGAATGAAAATGAAAGCCTGGGTGGGCGTTCCAACGGACTCTTCAGGCCAAGCCTGAAGCCTAGGTTTGAACCTGGAAACTCTGAGTGATTCTGGTCAGATCCGTGGGTCGGGGGCCGTGGAGAGATCAGACTCCCAACCCAGCACAGAGTGACTCACGGAACTCGTAGTAGCCCCACAGGTTCCGCGGGTTCCTTCGGTAGGACCGGGCGCTGACCGGGCGCTAACTGTGGGCCGCCGCGTGGGCGGCTCCCGCGGCGCTGCGGCTCCCACAGCGATGAAGCGGGGCTTCCCGAGGCCCGGCCGGGACACGGAGGCGTGGAAATACCGCAGGGAGGGGGGCGGGCCGGAGCGGATGAGAGCCCTTAGGGTGGAACCTGGGGATCGGGGTGTCTCAGCTTAATACGGCCAGGAGAGGAAGAGAGGCGCACGGCCTCGTTAGACGGAACTGTGGGGCTGCGGGAGAAGGCGTGGGAGAGCGGAGAAGGGACAGAGGCAGAAACTTGCTTGCTCCCCCCGCAGAGGCCGGTTGCCTCCCGACCCCGCACTCTCCTGCCCAGGTCTCAGTGCGGGCCAGGGCTCCCGAGAGAAAGCAGGAGGAGAGTTTGGGGCGCCATGGGAGAACTTAAGCTTGGGGAAGTTGATTGGCTTCTCTAGGAACCCAGCATCCAATAGGAGCGAGAACTGGAGGCCTGGTCTGGTCATGAGTGTCCAGGCAGCAGCTGGCACGGGTTGGGAGTTTGAAACTGAGGGGGATGAGGGGGGGGGAATCTCCAGGGCATACTCCAGACCCCCACCCCCAAAAACAAAGCAAAAAAAGTGGTAGAGCAGCTGAGTTCAATCTCCAGCATGAAAGAAAGAAGGGGAGAGAGGAAGACAGGGCGGGAAGAAGAAAGCAAGGAAACGTGAGGCACAGATGGGAATTCAAGGGGGAGAGAATTGCCTAGGCCAGCATAAAACCAGAGGTTCAAACCCCCTAGTACCAAAAAAGAAAAACAGGTGGGAAGGACAGGGGCAGGTTGAACACTGAGTACACTCGGTGGTAGGGCTATGCATTTTTTTAAAAGCTAATCTGACCAATCCCCTCTCTTGCGTTGACTTTCTATTTCCCTCACCCTCCCCTCTCCCCCATGAGACTCTTATCTCCAGGGACCAGCTCTTCCACTGGGTGGCAAAGTCCTGTTTGGTCAGGAAGAAAACACGAAGAGAGGCCGCCAGGACGGTGCAGGGGGTCCCTAAGCCCAAGGAGGGGGATCACACAGACTCTCTGCCTCTGGGGCAGCCCCCTCCTACTAGCCCCGGGGCTGCGGACGTGTCGTAGCGCTCTTACACCACCCAAGTTCTGCTCTGAGACTCTTGATGAAAGTGAAACCAACAGGGTACGCTCCTGAGACCTGAAGTCGGAGGCTGGGTCCGCGGTGTGGACCCGACTCCTGGGGCTCTGAGCCCCGCGATGCTGCGGGTTGCCATGGTCCTCGCCTCAGTCCTCACCTCGGTGCGACCCCGTGAGTAGGGAGCGGGCAAGGCTCGAGGAGAGGGCGGGCAGGGGGGAGGACGCAGAGCGCTGCCACCCAGAACCTCACGGCCTTTTGTTTCTTAGCGGTGGCTTCCCAAAATCTTGGCAGGAGCGATGCAGATCTTAGTTCAGCACCCTGGGTACTCAGATTTGGCGTTTCTGGAGCTTTATTGTTTTTATTTGTGGGGTTTTTGATTGTCGGTTATGGGGCTTGCTCAAGGCTAGCGCTCTACTACGCCACAGCTCCACTTCCTTTCTCGAGTGAGAAGAATCTCATGGACTTTCCTATTACAGCAGGCTTCAAACTGACATCCGCTCACAGCTTCCGCAGTGGCTAGGATTAGAAGCCTGAGCCAGCAGCGCCCAACTCAGCGCATCCCTCACCTTTTTTGTTTGTGGTCATGGGCTTGGACTTGGGCTGGGCACTGTCTTGGAGCTCTTTTTGCTCAAGGCTGGTGCTTTACTGTTAGCCAGTCTCACTTCTGGTTTTTGAGAAGTTAGAGATAGAGTCTTACAGGGACTTTTCTACCCAGGCTGGCTTTGAACCATAATCTTTATTGAGTAACTAAGATTACAGGCATGAGCCACTGGCTCTTGGATTGTGGTTACTTTTTTTTTTGGTCGGTTATGAGGCTTGAACTCTGGGCCTGGGCGCTGTCCCTCAGCTCTTCAGCTCAAGGCGACTGCTCTACTGCTTTAGCCACAGCACCACTTCCGGTTTTCTGAGTGGTTTATTGGAGGTAAGAGTCTCACGGACTTTCCTTACCTGGGCTGGCTTTGAGCCGTGATCCTCAGATCTCAGCCTCTTGAGTAGCTAGGATTATAGACGTGAGACAATGGTGCCGGGCTACTTTTTTTTGGGGGGGGGGTCTGTTTTGGGGCTTGAACTCAGGGCCTGAGGCACTGCCCTTGAGCCTCTTTGTGCTCCAGGCTAGCATTCTATCATTTGAGCCACTTAGCCCCTTCCTGCCTTTGGAGATAAGAATCTCGAGGACTTTCCTGCCCCAGCTGGCTCCAACTCAGATCCTCAGAATCTCCTGAGTAGCTAGGATTACAGGTGTGAGCCACCAGGACCCAGCTTGATAGTTAATGTTATATGTCAACTTGGCCATCCCATAATATAACAGCTAGTTTATCAAACACTATTCTGGATGTTTTTGTGAGAGTGATAGGGATGACATTTACACTTAAATCAGTAAGTTTTGAGTAAAGCTGGTTGTTCCCTACATGTGGGTAGGCCCTTTTCAATCAGTTAAAGACTTTAAGAGACAAAGACTGAGGTCCATGAGAAGTAAAGAATTCTCCCTCTACATTACCTCCATGGGATGTTTGCTCCCAGCCTACTTATCCTACAGATTTGCAATGTGCTCTCACCATTGTGTGATACAGTTTGTATTTGCCCTACAACTACATGAGACAATCCTTTTCATCCTAGCAAGTCTCCTTCCCTCTAGCTACCTAATGTATTGTTATACACACTAAGAATGCAATGAGCAACAAAAAAGAGAACTCATCTGATGCAATTTATTCCCAAGCACATAGTGAATACATAATCAACGGATGTTCCTTGAGTATTGGGACATATGTATGTCTTTCTTGGGCTGAGAGGTGGCAAGAGAGGTGAGGCCTCCCTGAGTTCAGACTTTGGCACAAGACCAATAGTAGCCAAAAGGTGGAGACAAAGTATTCCAGATGAGAGAATAATAAGCACTCAAAAGTCTCTGGAGCATCCAGGCACCAGTGGCTCACACCTAGAATCCTAGCTATCTAGGAGGCTGAGATCTAAGGATTGCAGTTTGAAGCCAGCCCTGAACAGGCAAGTCCATGAGACTGCAATTTCCAAGTAAAAAGAAAAAAGCCAGAAATGGAGCTGTGGCCCAAATGGTAGAGCACTAGACAATGAACAACAAAACCCCCAAAACAGCCGGGCTGTTCATTTGAGCCAAGTGCTAGTGGCTCATGCCTGTAATCCTAGCTACTCAGGAGTCTGAGATATGAGGATCACAGTTCAAAGCCAGCCCGGGCAGAAAAGTCTTGAGACTCTTATCTCCAATAAACCACCAGAAAACCGGAAGTGGGCCTGTGGCTCCAGCGGTAGAGCACTGGCCTTGAGCTGAAGAGCTGAGGGATAGCTCCCAAGCCAGAGTTCAAGTCCCATGACCGACAAAACAAAAACAAAACCCCCCAAAATCCTCAGGTACAGTGCCAGGCTCTAGTTAAAGCCTCAGGAACACACACATACACACACAGAGATACACACATACAATCTTGATTGAGGAATAGAGGGATCTGGAGCAGTAGACGTTTAGAAATATCTTTGAGGGGGTTGGGAAGGTGGCTCAGTGGTAGAGCGCTTGCCTTGCATGCATGAGTCCCTGGGTTCAATTCCTCAGCACCACATAAGCAAAAAAGAAAAAACCAGAAGTGGCGCCGTGGCTCAAGTGGTAGAGCGGTAGCCTTGAGCTGAAGAGCTGAGGGGCAGCGTCCAGGCCCAGAGTTCAGGCCCCACGACTGGACAAAAAAAAAAAAAGAAATATCTTTGAGGCACTAAAGCACCGACCTAGCAAGCATGAAGCCATGACCTCAAACCCTGGTATTAAAAAAGAAAGTGGGGGGTGGGGGAAGAAGGAAGAAAGAAAGAGGAGGAGGAGGAGAATCTCAGGAAGCAGAGACTGGAGCATAATAGTTCAAGGCCTACCCAAGCAAACCCAAAACAAAACAAAACCAAAAAAAAAACCCAAAAACTAACAACAAAAGGAACAGGCAGTGTGGCTCAAGGTAGTATTTGCCTAGCAGAACAGAGTCTCTGAGTCTTTATCAGGGTTTCTAACCTATTGGCTTTTTTCTCCAGTTCCCAGTGAAGCATCTGAAGTCAGGGGTCCTGAGTCAGGGGCCCACCCAGGCTCCAGATGCTGCAGTCAGAACTGGAGGAAAATCCTGTTTCACAGAACTTTGATCTCAGCCCATACTCTGAGGGTATTTTGAAATATCTATTGCTCAAAATCCCTCTGTCTCAATTGAGAACATCTTTGTGGGGACTTCTCCCTGGGACTGGATCCAGAGCCTTGAGCATGCTAGGCAAGTGCTCTCCTACTTGAGCCATGTCTCCATTCTCCACAGGAACTTTCTGATGAGGCCTTAAGCAAACATTTTGCCCCTTTTCTAAAATCTGTTAGCACAGACTCTATGGAATTAGAGTTCATTTGGGCTAGCCGTACACCAATAGCACAAACCTGTAATCCTAGCTACTCAGGAGGCTGAGATCTGAGGATTTCGGTTCAAAGCAAGTCTGCCAGGAAAGTCCCTGAGACCTTTATGTCCAAATAATTACTAAAAAGCTGGAAGTGGAGCTGTGACTCAAGTGGTAGTGAGTTCAAGTCGTAGGACTGGAACCCTCACCCAAAAAAATAACAATTTTCTTGGACCTATAGGTTGTTCTCTGTTCCCACTGTTTTACACTGTGTCTTGCCTCTTCTACTGTATGCACATATATATTCATGCACACACATGTGTGCACAAAATATATGCATTGTGTAGTATGCCAAGTGCATGTGTGTATATGAATGCATGCTCATGTACATATACCTACATTGATATGTGTGTGCAGCCATGCATGCACACACATGGATTCTCATACATGTAATATGTTCTGTTACTTTGACAGGTAAAACACATGTCTGTACATTCATGTGTGTGTGTGTGTGTGTGTGTGTGTGTGTCTACTCACATACACATGCACAGGTGCAAAGATGATGTAAACATTCAACTTACACAAGCACACATGTGTATGCAAACATGCACATATGCAGGTGCACACATACATAGGTACTAATGTGCACATACAAGTGTATACATGTAAACATTCAACTGGCCTGCATATATATATGCATAAAGTACATGCATACACAAAGTACAGGCATGCACACATGAACATGCACTTAAGGTGTGCACAGCTGCACAGCACACATAAGCATGCATATGTAAATTCATGCACACATATGCACATGAACATACAGATGCACATATGCACAACACATACATGTGAGCACTCACACATACATTCACACACATATACACATATTGGGAGCTAGTTCTCACTCAATAAATTCTGTCACTCACTGTGGATGCACGCTTCCTACTGCAGGGTCATACTCTCTGCAGTATTTCTATTTGGCTGTGTCGGAGTCCAGTCCAGGAGTCCCTGCTTTTCTGGCCACTGGCTTGGTGAACGATCTGCCCTTCATCCGCTACAACAGTGAGAAGGAGAAAGCAGAGCCACTGGTTCACTGGTTGACAGAAGACGTGAGTTACTTTGACGATGAGACTAAAATCTTCATAAACCGGATGAAGATTTTCCAGTTAAGTCTGAGAAATGTGCAGAACTACTACAACAACACTCTGAGCAAGAGCCTGGCCTCCACACACCCCCAGCGTGCAGGTAAGTGCCATGACAGAGTGGTGGGAAGCAGACCTCACATTATCCCACCCTCAGGGGCTGGAGACTGGCGGCAAACCTCCTGACAAGTTGTCACTTGAGACAACTGGCAAGGTCTCAACCATCAGGGTCTGTTTGACCTTAAGCATCACACAGTCTGGCTGTCCCAGATGCCAGCAGCATGCATCTTTGGGGGCTGGAGGAAGGAATTAGAAAAGCAGAAGGACCCATGCTTGTCCTCAAAGCCCTGACAACTACTATGCAGAAACACCACTTCATTAGGTCATCCTCACCCCTCACCCCTCATCACCCCACTCCCCTCTCTCCCCACACTAGTCCCTTTTTGACTTTCATGTCTTTTTTGTTGTTGTTGTTGTTTTTTAATCTAGATTCCATATGTGAGAAAGACGAAGTGATATTAGTCTTTTGAGTCTGGCTTATTTTGCTTAACATGATGATCTCCAGTTCCACCTGTTTTCCTGTAAATGATGTTATTCCATATTTCTTTATGATCGGAGCATTATGCCATACTTACCTATGCATGAAATCCTCCACTGATCTGAGCTGTTATATTCACTATGAACGAAAACATTTCATTTGATCTGAACCATTATACCATATTTGATGAGAATCATTATACCATGTTTGATGAGAATCATTATACCATGTTTGATGAGAATCGTTATACCATGTTTGATGAGAATCATTATACCATGTTTGATGAGAATCATTATACCATGTTTGATGAGAATCATTATAACATGTTTGATTAGAATCATTATACTTGTCTATGAATGAAAATATTCTATAGCCGGGCGCTGGTGGCGCACGCCTGTAATCCTAGCCACTCAGGAGGCTGAGATCTGAGGATCAAGATTCAAAGCCAGTCCGGGCAGGAAAGTCCTTGAAACTCTTATCTCCAATAAACTACCAGAAAACCAGAAATGATGCTATGACTCAAAGTGGTAGAGCTAGCCTTGAGCAAAAAGAGCTCAAGGACAGCACTCTGGCTCCGAGTTCAAGCTCCACACTGAAAAAAAGAGAGAGAGAGAGAGAGAGAGCCTGGCATCAATGGCGCACGCCTGTAATCCTCGCTATTCAGGAGGCTGAGATCTGAGGATCATGGTTCAAAGCCAGCCCGGGCAGAAAAGTCCGTGAGACTCTTATCTCCAATAAACCACCAGAAAACTGGGAGTGGTGCTGTGGCTCAAGTGGTAGAGCACTCGCCTTGAGCTGAAGAGCGCAGGGACAGCGCCCAAGCCCAGAGTTCAAGCCCCACAACCGACCAAAAAAAAAAAAAAGAGGGGGGGTGGGCACTGGGAATGTGGGTTAATGGTAGAGTGGTTGCCTAGCATTCATGAAGCTCTAGGTTCAATTCTCAGTACCACATAGAAAGAAAAAGCCAGAAATGGCTCTGTGGCTCAAGTGGTAGAGTGCTAGCCTTGAGCGAAAGAAGCTCAGGGACAGTGCCCCTGCTCTGAATTCAAGCCTCAGGACTGGAAAAAAAAAAAAAAAGCTGGAAATGGCAGCGCATGCCTGTCATCTCAGCTATGTGGGAAGCACAAATAGGAGGATTGTAGTCCAGGCTAGGCAAGTCTGGGTATAAATGCAGCACCCTATTTGAGAAGCAATGAAAGAAAGACTGGAGACATGACTCAAGTGATAGAGCTTCTGCCTAGTAAGCTCAAGTATCTGAATTCAAACTCTAGTGCCCTCCAAAAGAAAAAAACCCACATGCACACACACATATATATCCAATTGTGCATATATATATTCCATGCATTGGTCAATGCATGGAATTGGTCATTCATTTGTTGTACCATGACTAATTCCATGAGCTATTGTGAATTGATAACACATTTGTGAAGGGTCTTTATTTTTTATTTTTATTTTGCCAGCCCTGGGGCTTGAACTCAGGGCCTGGGCACTGTCCTGAGCTTCTTTTGAACAAGAGTAGTACTCTACCACTTGAGCTATAGCACCACTTCCAGCCTTTTCTGTTTATATGGTACTAAGAAATTGAACCCAGGACTTCATGCATGCTAGGCAAACACTCTACCACTAAGCCACATTCCCAGTCTGTGAAGGGTCCTTAAACCAGTGAGCATGCAAGGCACTTGTGGCTCATGCCTGTAATCTTAGCTGCTCAGGAGGCTGAGATCTGAGGATCATGGCTTGAAGCTAGCCCAGGCAAGAGCTGGAAGTGGAGTTGTGGCTCAAGTGGTAGAGCACTATCTTTGAGCAAAAAAGCTAAGGGACAGCACCCATGTTCTGAGTTCAAATCCCAAGACACACACACACACACACACACACACACACACACACACACACACACACACACACACACACACACACACACACTCACTTCCCCAATGAGTGATATAATGAAGCCTGACGATGAAGCTGCTTCATTTGCTACCAGAGGCTCCGGAAGGAACAGGTAAACTTTCCCAACTTTCAAAGGGCTCAAGGAAAAGCAGGGAATAAGTGATGTATAGTAGTGTTCAGTATAACATGTGAGTGTGATTTAGATTGCTCAGATCTGTGGGCCGTGAAATCTCAGAATAGGACACAATTCAAAATGGAGCAATCTCAGAGTTAGTTCTATCTGGCTTTGGAAGTCTTCAGAGTTTTCAACAGAAGTTACTGCTTGTTAATGCTGAGTCTGTTTTCCTTGAGTACTTCATGGAAAGTGAAATACAGTGTGTCCTTTTATGGTAACACTGTGTACTAGAATTCTATTTCTAGGAAATCACACATATAGTTGGAGTCAGTCAGCAAAGCAGAGACCTGTGGAATATTCTCTAATCCATGTACATGAGGTAGAGAGCTGAATGTGTTATCTAGACAGCACAGTTCATGAAAACACCCCAGTCTTTACCTTTCCATGAAGGCTTTCCCACTACATGCTAGAGCCCAGCACAAAAGATTGCAGAGCCGGGGCTGGGAAGGTGGCTCAGTGGTAGAGCGCTTGCCTTGCATGCTCGAGGCCCTGGGTTCGATTCCTCAGCACCACATAAGCAAAAAGAAAAAAAAAAGCCGGAAGTGGCGCTGTGGCTCAAGTGGTAGAGCGCTAGCCTTGAGCTGAAGAGCTGAGGGACAGTGCCCAGGCCTAGAGTTCAGGCCCCATGACCGGACCCAAAAAAAAAAAAAAAAGATTGCAGAGCCAACAGCAAGATAAGAACACCAGAAGAGAGAGACAGAGAGAGGAGAGAGAGAGAGAGGCTACAGGAGTGGTTAAGTGGTAGAGCATCAGCCCATGAGTGAAAGCATCAGATACCAAGTTAGAGTCCCAGTCTTAGATAAAAGAAAAAGGAAGAAGGAAGGAGATAAAAGAAAAAGGAAGAAAGAAGGAAGGAAGGGAAAGAAAGAAAAAGAAAGGGAAAGAAGGAAAAGAAAAGAAGGTAGGTTGGCCAAGAGATCAAGTGGGGGAGGGAAGGAAGGAGTGGGGGGAGGGGAGGGGGCGGGGACCATGGTGGAGAGGCCTTGAGTATTTGCCTGACTTCCTTGACATGCCTTTCCTGGGGGGATGGTAGGCTCCCATACCCTCCAGTTCATCTATGGCTGTGAGCTGCAGGAAGATGGCAGGAAGAGCGGGCACTGGCAGTATGGCTATGACGGTGAAGATTACCTCATCTTGGATATGGACTCTGAGGAATACTTGGCAGCCTCATCCCCTGCCAGGTACACCACACAGAAGTGGAAGGCCTCTGGGAACAACATAGAACACGACAAGATCTATTTGGAGACTGAATGCATCTTGTGGCTGAAGAAATATTTGAAGCTCGGAAGGCACAATTTGAACTACACAGGTAATGATGTCGCCCAGCTCCCCTTCCCAGTATCCTCATGGCCCCAGCAAGGCCCCTACTCTTCTCTCAGGACAACCCCTGCACAGGGGTGTGGCTCTCTATTGTGGAGGGTGAGGCTCATGTTGAGGGTAACTTCCCTCTGGAGTCTCCTGGGCAGTACTCCCTGCTATCTTCGGAAGTCCTCCCTGGAGGACAATGTGTCTCAGGAGACTGGTAGGCACATTCCTTATCTCTTGGGGGTTTTGTTGCACTTGGGCTTCTCCCATTAGAGACACAGCTGTGAGGCTTGAGAGCCAGAAAATGGAGCCCGTGAAGGATGTTGGGAATGAAATCCCAGGCCTTTCTTTTGGGTCCCTGCTTAGCTTAGATGGGTTCCCTCCACCCCACCTAGATGACACCATTGGAGGGGCTGGAGTTCTGGCTCCTGTCATTCGTTACATCAGATGTTACTCAACATGGCTGCACATGGATCCTCTCTACTTTATCTATCTCAGAGAGTCCCCGGACCCACGTGACCCACCACCCCCTTTCCAACCATTATGTGACCCTAAAGTGCTGGGCGCTGGGCTTCTACCCTGCGGAGATCACCCTGACCTGGCTGCGGGATGGAGAGGAGCAGACCCAGGAAATGGAGCTAGTGGAGACAAGGCCTGCAGGAGATGGAAGCTTCCAGAAGTGGGCAGCTGTGGTGGTGCCTTCTGGGGAGGAGCAGAGATACACATGCCATGTGCAGCATGAGGGGCTGCCTGAGCCCCTCAGCCTGACATGGGGTAAGCAGGGCTGAGGGCACAGAGCACAGCTGTGCTCAGAGACAGCAGGAGGCATGTGCAGCTCTCAGCAGGTAAGGACTGAGAGCTGGGTTCACAGCCCTCATTCCCCTTTCCCTTCTCTTCCCAGAGCCGCCTGCTCAGCCCATCATTCCCAAGATTGGTGTGGCCATCTTTGCAGTTCTAGTTGTTATATCTGTGGTGCATTTTGTGCTGTGGAGGAAGAGGACTGGAGGAAGGAAGGTGGGGGTCTGAGTTCCTGGGCCACTTGTGGGTTTCAGGCCCCAGGCAGAAGTGTGAGCTGCACTCCTAATGGGAAGTTGCAGCACACTCAGGGCCTTCCCCAGCCTGACAGCTCCTCTTCTGTAAATCACCTGCAAAACGAAGGACACAAAATTCCCCCTCCTGAGGGTGGCTATGGGAACGGATTGCAGCACTCAGGCCCACAGGGACTCAGCTGCCCACTGAGGTCACACTCCAGGAGGTCCTGGGGTCTCTCTTCCCAACTGTTGCACTCCTGTCTCCTGATACTTCCTTGGTTCAATGGTCAAATTTCTAGAAACTTCCCATGAGGTCAAGGCTAGGGGTTCATCCAGGCCCTCATGGCACTGCTTGTGTCCTGCCTCTCACATGGTGTTTCTCCTACAGGTGACAAGAGAGAAGGCTATGATAAGGCTGCAAGTGAGTGCCATGGGGGAGGAGGTGACCTTTGTTGTGGTGCAGACAGGACCTGTGGGAGCTCATGCACCCCGGAATTCCTCCAGTGACGCCTGTGTTCTCTAACCAGTTCCTCTCTTCCACCACAGGAGACGACAGTGACCAGGGTTCTGATGCTTCCCTAAGAGCAGAAAAAGGTGACAACTGGAGACCCTAAATGGAGTGCAGGGCTGAGGCCCAGGGAAGGCTGTGTTGTAGTTGCAGGGTCTGTGCATTGGGCGTTAGTGGCCTGCTCAGAGTGTGTCGCTAACAGTGACTGATCTGCATTGTTGTGCTTGTTCTTTTCTCCTGCAGTGTGACACAGCTGCTTTGTGTGGTCTGAGAGGCACAGCATTTGTTCCTGCCTCTCCTCCTCCCTCCTGGGACATCATGAGCTCCTGACTTCTCTTCCTGTACCTGGAATCTGACCCAATGCAGGCTTCTGTGTGCTGTCAGCCTCCTGTGAGGAACTGAGGAGCCAGCCCAGCCCTGAGCACCAGGACCCTCCCCACACTGACCTGGGTCTCTTTCCCCTCCAGCTGCTGCTCCAGCAGAGGCGGGGCCAGGGCTTCCCCAACCCTGACTTCACTTTCCCTTGCTCTGAGCTGCAGCTGCTGCTTTCCCACTGATAAAGAGAATGTGGATGTGGGTCTGTGTTTCAAATTGTTGCCATGGAAAAAGGTTGAATAAATCAATGAATGATTCCCAAAACTTGAGATAGAAAATAAGACATGATTAAATTCCCGAATCATCATGTTTGCTGAGCTGTGTTGTGGGCGGGGCCAGGGTTAGGCTGAGAACAGGCAGGTGTGGATAGGAGCTCAGTGCATTCTGGACTGTCATGTATTCAGTCCTCACCTGGGTTGTCTTCCCTGCTGCTCAGTTGTGTTGTTTGCCTAGAACCTTCTCCATGAGCACCTATGATCAGAGGAGCTTTTCCTTGTCTAGCACACAGCACAGACTGTGCAGGTGAGACTAGGCTCAGGCCTGAGTCCCCTACTAAGGCACCATCAGTTCTTCTCCATACTTGTGTCCCTTCTTGTCATCCTGCATGAGCTGGTGTCTTGTTGGCCTTCTGGGTGTCCTGTGACAGCAGCAGGGGGTGTGTTGCTGTCACTGCCTCCCAAAGCACCAGGCAGCCTTGCACAGGGTGTGTGTGGTGAGGAGAAAGGCAATGTGAGGCAGCTTGCTTTCCTTCTAGCACTGCTGCCTCCAGTGTGGTTCTGTGCTGTCCCCAGTGCCCTCAAGGGAGCCACCTGTGGGAAGAGCAGAGAGGAGGGATGTCAGGTTTCTCCTGTTTGCTCCCTTCCTGATCCTCTGCATCTTCTCTGCCCACCTTCCCTCCACCTGCCCTCAGCTCTGGTTAGTCCCAGCTCTGCTCCCACTCAAATTCCTGGATTGAAGAGCAGAGTCAAGAAGGGATTATGGTCCCCATCTTGATTGGCTGAGAGGATCTGGAAGTTAGTGGAGTTCATGTCCACATGTGTGTCAGGGGGTTTCAAGGAGAATGGGTCACGAGGGCTCTGACCTAGAGAGTGGTGTCATCCACTGATGGATTCAAAACCTGCAGAGAGTTCTGGGAGTTGGTGGACTGTGGAAGATGGGACCCCACTGTGGGGTTCCTTGAGGGCTGTGTTTTTCTCTGGGCCCTGACTGTTACTGCCCTGCTCTGCTTCCTGTTGCCAGGAGAGGCGCTGTGCTTCTGCTCTGCCCTGCCCTTCCTGCCAGGTCGACTCAGTCCTTTCAAACCCTGACCAAAACACTTCCTTCTTCTCAACTTCATTCTCAGAAACAAATTAAGACGGGAATCTCCTGCCAGACAGTAGGGCTGTTGCTCTGATTACTTAACAGTGTGGTTCTTAGGACTTTGGAGTTGGTCTGCAGATTGAATTTGGAATCCCTCAGAAAGTCAAAGGAGGTCAGAACCGGCATCCTGTGGAGCATGTGTGCTATTAGAAGGGGCAGGTGGCAGGGTCTCTAACAGAGCAAGGATGGGCCGTTTCATGCAGGAGGAGGCAGTGCTAATGGAGAGATGATATGGTGTGGGTCTGGGTATGGGTGTGGGGACAGATCTACCTGTGGGACTGGTGTTCATCATGACCTGGGAGGGAATTTTTGAGACTTGTGACAAAATTTCCCAAGAGGATATCTAGAGAAAGTGTTGGTAACGTAAAGATCCTCTTGTGCAAAGTCCCTGGGGTTTGATCTTACCTGTGTTCTGTGGACTGCCAGATATCTGGGATTTGCTGAGTTGCATCTTTGAGAAGAGGTCTGAAGAAAAGATTCTCACTTGAGGGATTTCTGTATGCTTCCAGTCCTGGATCTTGAACTCATGGCTGTGTGCTTCCCCTAAGCTTGTTCTAGGTAAGGGTTAGTGTGCCACTTGAGCCACGGTTCAATTCCTACTTTTGGAAAAGGAGAATCCCAGAGAATTTTCTGTCAGTGCTGGTTTCAAACCATGATTCTGAGACTTCAGCCTCCTGAGTAGGTAGGAGTATAGGCAGGATCTACACTACTGACGTTGATAGTGATTTTCTTTGTCACTTGTTGGGCTGGAACTCCGGGCTTAAGCACTGTCCCTGAGCTTTTTCACCCAAAGCTAGTGCTAGAGCACTTTGAGCCACAATTGCACTTTTGGCATAACTCACCAACCCTCAACTGACATTTTCTTTGCGAGTTCTGGGACTTGAACTCAGGGCCTGTCCCTGAGCTTCTTTGTCCAAGGCTAGTACTCCACTCCTTGAGCCACAGGGCAACTTCCAGCTTTTTCTGTGTGGTAGGAGGAATCAAATCCAGGGCTGCATGCATGTTAGCAAGCATTCTACAATTAAGCCAGATTTCAAATCTCTGACATTTTTCTAAGTGGAAGGAGATGTTTAATGAAAATGAACACAGAAGATAAACAGAAATGTCCCAGAGCATAGTTTTAATCTATTCAGGCCTGTAGTTTCCAAATATGACCACATGATGGCGATATAACTCCAGCTTTTTGTTGTAGGTGTTTGTTATCAATTTAGAACTATGTATTTAGAACTATGTAAGTGCTGAAGCCTGGCTCCGGTGGATCATGCCCAGTATCCTAGCTACTCAGCAGGCTGAGATCTGAGAATCACCATTCAAAACCAGTCCAAGAAGAAAAGTCCACGAGACACATCTCGAAGGAACTATAAGAAAATCCAAGTACTGCTGTGGCTCAAAGTGGTAGAACATTAACCTAAGCAAAAGAGCTCAGGGTTGGTCCCCAGACCATGAGTTCAAGCTTCAGAACAGATGGGGAAAAAAAACCCAAAGCAAACAAAAAACCTACAATAGTTCTGAGGCAGAAAGATGTCAGCTTTGGTACTTGAAAACCTTTGGATAAATACAGCCCTTTCAAGGCATAGGTATCCATTGCTTTGTATATGGCTGGCATTATGCTCAGTTTTTCTCATCAATTGAAATTTGTGCAATTTTGGGCAGTCTGTGGGCCTTATACCAATTTGGAGGTATAAGGTTGTATTGTGCTTCCCCAGAAAATTCCCACAGGAAATAACAAATAGATGAGACCCCTTTTCAGTAAGTGGGTTTGGATCCCAGTCTGGTCGACTCCAGTTCATACTCTCAATAGGTGCAGTAGCCCCGTGGGTGGTAAAATCATTATTTAAAGCCTTTTATTTGGGGGGTAGTCCAGTCGTGGGCCTGAACTCTGGGCCTGGGCGCTGTCCCTCAGCTCTTCAGCTCAAGGCTAGCACTCTACCACTTGAGCCACAGCGCCACTTCTGGCTTTTTTTTCCTGCTTATGTGGTGCTAAGGAATCGAACGAACCCAGGGCATCATGCATTCAAGGCAAGCTCTCTACCACTAGCCACCTTCCCAGCCCTCAAAGCTTTTCTTGACATCTAATTTATTGATAAGGACTAAAACATTCAGGTCTGAGCTAAGTGCTGGTGGCTCACATCACTAATTCTAGTTACCTAGGAGGCTGAGATCTGAAGATTGTGGTTTGGAATTAGCCCAGTAAGGAAGTCCTGAAGACCTCTATCCCCAGTTAACTCCCAAAAAGCTGGAAGTGTTGGGGAGGCGAGAGCGGGGGCCATGGGCGTCTAAAGTCAGCGGGAACCGACCTGCCAGCTCAGTGGAGAAAGCAGTGGCCATAGTGAAAATGAAGCTGGCATCTGCCCAGCAACTGCACTGCAAAGCTGGTAACCAGGGCTGTGCGGGAGCCGCGACGCTAGAGGGCGTCACCAGCCCTCTGAAGGCCGGGCCGTGGAGGGGCGGTGTTTCTGGAGCTGGAACTCAGGTGTCCAGCTTGCTAGGCTGTTGCTCTCCCCGTTGACACTCACATGGAGTCCTATTATATCTTCGCGTAATTGCTGAGAAAGAGTCTCTTCAACTTTTCTGGTCAGGCTGGTCTCAAACCTTGATACCTCTGCACTCAGCCTCCTGAGTGGTTAGCTTTATAATCATGACAATCAGCCAGGGGCTCACAGCTGTCATCCTAGGCACTCAGGAGGTTCAGATCTGAGGTTTGTGATTCAAAGCCAGCTCTGAAAAGAAAAGCTATGAGACTCTGATCTCCAATAAAGTACTAGAAAAGGCTGAAGTGGACGGTGGTGTAAGTGTAGACTGCTAGCCTAGCCTTGGGCCAAAGAAGCTCAGGGACAGTGCCAAGGCCCTCAGTTCAAGCCCCAGAAAGGAGAAAATATATAGTAATGCAAATAAAATAGTACAATTTATGCTATATTAATACAATTTAAGTGAAATATAATATGATTTATTTTTATAATACTGTGAATTAGTTAATGCTGATGGATTAAAAAGATTTTATGTGAAGCATATCTTACTGAGATTACTAAGAAAAATATGCACCAGCTAGGCACTGCTGGCTCACACTTGGAATCCTAGCTACTGAGGAGGCTGAGATGTGAGGATCATAGTTCAAAGCCAGCCTGGGCAGTAAAATCTGAGAGATTTCATCTTCAAGTAACCAGTAAAAAGGCTGGGGTCGACTTGTGGCTCTAGTAGTAGAGTGCCAGTTAGGCAAGCAAGCTCAGTTTGTAAGAAGCCCTAGGTTCAAGACAGATGGAGAGAGAGAGAGGAGGGAGAGATAAAGACACTGACAGAGTCACAGAGAAAGATAAGTAAAAGATCTCCTCTTACCTCCTGTTTTAGGGAAATGTGTCAGCCTTTGCTGCTTTGAGTAGACATCATGCTGTGAGATGTCAGCATGGAAGCAGGGGCAGCTTTGCTTAGCTGGCTCTGGGCTTGGCAGAACTTTCACCCAGACTCAGGGCAGATCCTGAAGCAGTGTGGGCCAGCAGGTGTGATGGCACATGCCTGTAATCCCAGCACTGGGGATATGCAAATTATCCAAACCACCAGATTCAATTGCTGAGACTCTAATCCTTAACCCTACTCGCCTCATGGCCAAAGAGCACCCAATTGAGAGCTACAGAGGATTCACACAGGCTCATTCAAACCGGTTCCTTGCCCTTCTCTTCCTTTTTTTTTTTTTTTTTTTTTTTTTTGATGGCTGGAGGTTGTCCTGGAATTGAACTGAGGGTCTGGACACTGTCTCTGAGTTTTTGTACTCAAGGCTAGCGCTCTATTGTTTTGAGCCACAGCACCACTTCTCTTCCTAAAAACCCACCCATTCCAAGCAGCTCAACAGTTTTAACTCTGCCCATTCATGAACATGGGAGGTCTTTCTCATCAACTCCTTTTGTTTCATGGTAGAGGTCTTTATTCTTCTTGGTTAGGTTTATTGGTAGGTAT